GAGTGCAATGGCGCGATCTCGGCTCACCGCAACCTCTGCCTCCTGGGTTCAGGCAATTCTCCTGCCTCAGCCTCCTGAGTAGCTGGGATTACAGGCACATACCACCAGGCCCAGCTGATTTTTAGTATTTTTAGTAGAGACGGGGTTTCACCATGTTGACCAGGATGGTCTCGATCCCTTGACCTCGTGATCCACCCGCCTCGGCCTCCCAAAGTGCTGGGATTACAGGCGTGAGCCACCGTGTGACTCTTTTTTCTTATACTTCACAAAGATCTATTTTGCAAGGAATCATCTTTTATTTTGTCACTTCTCTCTACTGAATTTTTATTATGCCCATCTTTAACCTTTCTTTGTGATTACTCAATTGTCTTCTCTGTTGAGTGAGATACTTAGATCATTTGCTCTTATTTTCTAATACAAGCATATAAAGCTACAATTTTTTTGCTTTTGAATTTCACTTAGTTGTATTCCACGATTTTTAATACATGATATTGATAATCATTATTCATTATAAATGCTTCTTAATGTATTTTCCTTTGACCTCTGAGTTGTTTGAAAGTTATTTGTAAATAAAAGAATGAATGCAAGTATACGGTTTAAAAGTTGCTACTGAATAATGTTATTCTAAATAACTTACTGAAATTATTACACATCTGTAAGTAGATGGTCATGTTAATAATTCAGAATTTAAGTCTTTGTTGTCAGTTTGTCATATGTGTCATTTCTATCCACAGTGGAAAAAATAGTTAAAACGAGCCTTATGTTTTAAATATATAGGATTAAATTTTTTTTTACATATTCATTTCTGATTTAATTGAAGTATGGTTAGAGAACATGGTATGTATAATTATTCTGTGGAACTTCTATAGACTTGTTTTGATGAGGTTCATGTGATTGTTGTGTTTGTGCTTGTGTGTGTACATGTATGCATATATGTGATTGTTCTGTATACGCTTGAAAATAGCTTGTATTGCTTACTTGCGTGGTTTAGGTATTCTCTTGGTTTTTTAGTTCAGTGGCCTTCAACCTTTTGTTAATGTACCTTCTAAAATATCTTAAGAACTTAGGTATGCACTCATATTTTAAGTTGACATTTAAAATTTTTCATTGTAAATTAAAATAGTACAAAGGGTATAATTTTAGTGTATTATGTAAAACTTGACATTTTAAAATAAAACTTACATTATTCTTTTGAAAGTATTCATGACCTCTAAATATTTTTGTGATTTTATACTTATTAATTAAAACAACTCCCTCCCTGCAACCACATACAAGCATGGATTCCTATTATGCCTCCAGTTCAGAGAAACTTGAAAAGTTGAACCAACCATTCTGCAGAGGACAACTGAAAAAACTGGATGAAATGTTTTAAAAATATTTGCTTGAAAGAGTCTCAGCATTCATATTTTAAAATACTTACGTACCTTGGAAATATTGTGGGTTTGGTTCCAGACTATCACAGTGAAGCACATACTGCAGTAAAGCAAATTACATGAAGTTTTAGGTTTCCCAGTGCATATAAAAATTATGTTTAAATTATTCTGTAGTCTGTTAAGTAGGCAATAGCATTATGTCCATAAAGTACATACCTTAATTAAAAAATATTTTATTGTCAAAAAACACTAACAATCATCTGGGCTTTCAGTGAGTCATCATCTTTTTGTTGGTGGAGACTTTTGCCTTGATGTTGTTGGCTACTGACTGACCAGGATGGTGACTGCTGAAGGTTGGGGTGGCTATGGCAATTTCTTAAAATAAGACAACAGTGAAGTTGCTGCATCAGTGGACTCTTCCCTTTCGTGAAAGATGTCTCTGTAGTATGCAGTGCTACTTGATAGCATTTTACCTGCAGTAGAACTTCTTTGAAAATGGGATCGATTCACTCAAACCCTGCCACTGCTTTGTTAACTAAGTTGATGTAATATTATAAATCCATTGTTGTCATTTCAACAGTATTCACAGCATCTTCACCAGAAATAGATTTCATCTCAAGAAAGCACTTTCTTTGCACATCCAGGAAAAGCAATTCCTCACCATCCAAGTTTTATCATGAGATTACAGCAATTCAGTCACATCTGCAAGCTCTACTTCTAATTCTCGTTCTTTTGCTGTTTCTACCACATCCTAGTGACTCCCTCCACTGAAGATTACATCCCTCAAAGACATCCATGAGTCAGAAACAACTTCTTTCAAACTCCTGTTAATGTCGATATTTTGACCTCCTCTCATGAACTATTAATGTTTTTCATTATGTCTCGAATGGTGAATCCTTTCCATAAGTTTTTCTTTACTTTGCTTAGATCCATGAGAGGAAACACTATGACAGCCATAACCTTACAAAATGTGTTTCCCAAATAATAAGATTTGAAACTCAAATTGCTCCTTGATCCATGGGCTGCAGAATGGATGTTGTGTTAGCAGACATGAAAACAACATGAAATTCAATGTACATCTTTATCAGAGCTCTTGGGAGACCAGGTGCATTGTCAACGATTAACAATACTTTGAGAGAAATCTTTTCTGAGCTTTAAGTCTCAACGGTGGCTTAAAATACTCAATAAACCATGCTATAAACAGATGTGCTGTCTTCGAGGCTTTGTTGTTCTATTTATAGAGCACAGGCAGGGTAATTGAGCATAGTTCTTAAGGGCCATACATTTTCAGAATGATCAGTAAGCACTGGCTTCAACTAAAAGTCACCAGCTGCATTAGCTCTTCAGAAGAGAGTCATTCAGTTCTTTGAAACTTTGAAGTGAACCACTGACTTGTCTCTAGCTATGAAACTACTAGAAATCATCTTCCAATAGAAGCCTGTTTTGTCTACACTGAAAATCTGTTGTTTATCCGTGATCCTTGCAAGATCTTTGGATAACTTGCTGCATTCTCTCCATCAACACTTGCTGCTTCACCTCGTGTTTTTATGTTAGGGACATGATTTCTTTTGTTAAACCTCTTAAACTAACTTCTGCTAGCTTCCTACTTTTCTTCTGCAGCTTCCTCACCTCTCTCAGGCTTCATAGATTTGAAGAGAATTAGGGTCTTTCTCTGGCTTAGGGTTTGGCTTGAGAGAATACTGTGGCTGGTTTGACCTTCTCTCTATACCACTCAAACTTTTGTCATATCATCAATAAGGCTGTTTTGCTCTCACCATTTATGTATTCACTGCAGTAGCACTTTTAATTTCATTCAAAAACTTTTTCTTTGCATTCAGACTGGTGTAGGAGGCCTGGCATTTAGCCTATCTTGGCGTTTGATATACCTTCCTCACTATCATTTCTAGCTTTTGTCTTAAAGTAAGAGATATGTAACTCTTCTTTTCCCTTGAATGCTTGGAGGCCACTGTAGGATTATTACTTGGCCTAATTTCCATTTTGTGTGTCTCAGGGAATAGAGAGGCCCAAGGAAAGGGAGAGAGACAGGAATGGCTATTGCTGGAGTAGTCAGAACACGCATAGCATTTATTGCTTCTGTTTATCATCTTATGTGGGCATGCTTCATGGTGGCTCCAAACAATTATAATTGTAATCGAAAGATCACTGATCACAGATTACCGTAACTGATATAATAATAATAATGAAAAAGTCTGAAATATTGCAAGAATTACCAAAATGTGACATAGAGACATAAAGTGAGCACTTGCTGTTGGAAAACTGGTGCTGACAGACTTAACTAGATCCAGAGTTGCCATAAATCCTTATTTTGTAAAGAAAAAACCCCACAATATCTGCAAATTGCAATAACGTAGAGTGCAATAAAATGAAGTATGTTTGTATTAAAGTGTGATGAATAATTCAGTTGTAAGTGGTAGTATATCAAAAGATTTTGACTGCTACTACATTTTGTTCTGATTTTAAGAGTTGTTACTTCAGCCTCATTACAAATTATAGGTGCTATGTAAATACTCTGCTATATACCTTTAATAATTTCTTTTTCTGCTTCTTTTCTAGGCATCACACCTTTGTATCATAATATGTTTGCTTTAATGAGTGAAACAGAAAGGATCTGGTATCCACCCAACCATGTCTTCCACGTAGATGAATCAATCAGGGATAATGTACTCTACAGAATAAGGTACTTTATTTAGTAAAGTAACTCACTTAATGCTAAAAGGCAAAGTGGGAGAAATTATCAAATATTTTTTAATTGCAAGGTACTTAATACCAGAGACCTGAACCAATTAGTTAGCACTCATTTAAGATTCTGTTTCTCCATCAGAAAAACTGTTCATACATGTTGTTTAAATAGAATACTCTGAGAATAAAGCTGTTTGTGTGGGATGCCACTTAACTCCTTATGATTATAATTAAATAAGTAGAAAAGATCAGAATGGCCTTTATTAACAGCATCCTAAATATTTGGGATACTACTGGTTTTCAAGGAAATTTGATGTTTTGTACAATAAAATGCAATTTCACACATCATCTTTATGAATAACTTTTTAAAAAGTTGACATGAAGAAAAGAGACTTTTCCCAGTGTTTATTTGCAGCCTCAAATAGTAAGTTAATTTATATAATTTATGATAATGTGTAATGCCTATTTAGAGAAATCTAGAAGTATTTTTTTTTGCTCAAAAGGATAAAACAGATATAATTGTGTCTCACAAATACGTGTCATTTTCTAAGCATTTATATATATATATAACTTTATATTTATATATTTATATATGTAATTTAATTATATATGTAATTTAATTTTCATCACAACTTCATGAAGTATTAGATTTCCAAATTAAAGATAAAGAATCTTGTTCTTTGAGATATAATTTTACTCAAATTTATTCATGTTCACATAGCTGGGAATTGGGAGTCAGGTTCAAATCCAAGCCTAGTTTGCTTCATAAGCTTGCTTCTTAACCACCTCACATGTACTTCATTAAAGAGATAATGTATATATAGTATTTATTATTGTGCCTATCACTTGGTGTTCTCTCAATAAATTTTAGTATTGCTTTGCTTCTTTCCCTTCCCCTATTTTGTATGAAAATACGCAATTGAATGTGTTTGCAATTACTGATGCAAACTGATATTTAATATACTGATGCATAATTTGCACTGAGTTCAAAATATTATTTTTGATATAATTTTTGAAAAGACAGAATTAGTGAAAGAATTCAATAAATGTTCAAATAAATCACAGATGTACAAAAAATTGATAGCATTCTATATATAAACAACCAGTTATATAATAGATAAAGAAGATCCTATTCAATATAGCTACAGAAACCCTTAACTAACCAGGAATAGTCTTAATAAGAAAAAACATAAGACAGTATAGGAAAATTAGAAGTTGATTTGTAGAATATGAAGAATTAGGACATAATACTGGAATGGTCAGATGGAATATTACAAAGATCAATTTCTCTTATGCTATGTGCTTAACTCTAAGCCAATCTCTTATGCTATGTGCTTAACTCAAAATCCTAACAAAGGCATTTTAGGGAATTTGATACATTACAATGTTAATTTAGAATTATTAAATAAGATAGCCATGAGAAAGAAGACTTATCTGGCAATTGTAAAATACTTTGTCCCAGGAAATATTTTCACATTATATGAAACTACAAAATGTATTTTATTAAAGCCACATAATTAAATTCAGAACCATAACCTAAATAATGAGAATAACGGGGCCAGTATAGCTTGAAAGTACTCCATCATACATTTAGAAATATATGAAGAAATATTTTCATGTTAAGGGAGAGATTAGTCAATAAATGGTGGTGGGATAGTTGGTTAGCTGTTTGGATAAAATTTCAGCTTCTTTATAATGTATATCAGATAAGTTATAGGTTGATTAAATATCAGATTGATGTGTAAACAGAAATGTAAAGAAAATCAAACTATAAAAGTCTGAATTGGAATTGAATTCAAGTCCGTGGGAAAATAGCATGTAAGCTACAAAATAATGGAAGAAATCATATGGGAATGATTGCAACTGTTGACTATAAAAATTTTCAAAGTTCTGAAGGTTTCCCCTTAAAAGACAAATTGTAAAGATAGTTTCCACAAATCAAATAAACAAAGGGTTAGTATTCTTATAAATGTAAAGTTAAAAACACTGCATCCATTAATGTACATGAAGAAGTATTTAACAAAAGAAGAACAAATAGTTAATGGCCTTTAAAAAAATTCTCAGTGTCACTAGTTACGAGAATAATGAATAGTTATAATTATGTGCTGAAGCCAGCGATCTCATATGATTAACTAGCTAATGCCAACAAATTATAGGACCAAGATGAAACGGACAAATGCCTAGAAAGATACAAGTTATAGGAATTACTAAAAGAAAACAGAAAGTTTGAATAGGTCTATGACAAGTAAAGAAATCATATTAGTAATGGCTTCACTTGTGAATTCTGTTGCACATTAAAATAATTATTACCAGTTATTCACAAAAAATAGAAAAGGAAGGAGGATTTCCCAACTCTTTCTATGAGTTCAGTATTACCCTAATACCAAATTCAGACAAAGGTGTCTAGAAGAAAAGAAAACTACAGACCAAGGTTGTAGGTAGAAAATGAACAAACACAAACTGAATCTAGCAATACAGCTTGAGTATGTCTTATCTGAAATGCTTGGGACCAAAACTGTTTTGGATTTTGGATTTTTTAAAATTTTAGAATATTTGCAGAGTACACACTGGTTTAACATCCCTAATCTAACATTCTAAAGTCTGAAATACTCTATATTTCTTTTGCACATCAGATTAGTGCTCTAAAGGTTTTGGAGCTTGGAGCATTTCAGATTTCAGATTTTTAGATTAGGAATACTCAATATGTTTACAAAAAGATTAAATACCATGACCAGGGGGATTTATCCCAGGAAATAAAGGTTAGTATAACTTCTAAAATCAATCAGTATGATACACCACATTAACAGAATAAAGGACCAGAACCACATGATCATTTCAATAGATACAGAAAAAGTATTGGATATAATCCCACATCCTATCACTATTAAAAAAAACAAACAAACTAAAAACCCCAATAGGAATGGCAAGGAACTTCCTCAATTTGTTGAAGGGCATCTATAAACAATCCAAAAGTAATGTCATACTTAATAAAGACTGAATGCCTTCTCTCTATGATAGGAATGAGATGAAGTATAGCTACTCTTACCACTTTGATTTAACATTATTCTATAGATTCAGGCTAGGAAAATTAGGCAAGAAAAAGAAATAAAAGGCATTCAGATTGGAAAATAAGAAGTAAAACTGTAGTCAGCCTGCTGTTTCCATGGGTTTCACATCCATGGATTAAACCAACTGCAGATTGAAAACATTTGGGAAAAAGTTGTGCTTGAACTGAACATGTACAGACTTTTTCTTGTCATTATTACCTAAACAATACAGTCTAACAACTATTTATATAACATTTACATTGTATTAAGTATTATAAGTAGTCTAGAGATTTTAAAGTATACTGAAGGATGTGCACAGGTTATATGCAAATACTGTGCCATTGTATGTCAGGAACATGAATATTTGCAGATTTTGATATGTGTGGGAGGTCTTGGAACCAGTACTGCGTAGATACCAAAGGATGATTACATATTCACAGATTACATGATCTTGCATATTAAAAATCCTAAGGAATTAATAAAAAACTATTAGAATTAATTAAAAAACTATTAGAATTAATAAATTAGCTCAGGTCAGTTGCAGAATAGAAGGTCAATATATAAAAATCAGTTGTATTTCTATACACAAAAAACAATTTAAAAATGAAATTTAAAAAGTTAACAATTGCATAACAAATTTTTAGGAATAAACTTAACAAAAGAAGCGTAAAATGTTTGCACTGAGAAATAGAAAACATCACTGAAAGAAATGAAGGAAGCACCTAAATAAATGGAAAGATATCTCCTAGTTAGAGAACTTCATATTTTTAAGATGGCAATACTCCTTAATTGATCTGTATGTTCAGTGCAATTCCTACTGAAATCCTAGCTGTCTTTATTTCAGAAATAAGTTAATCATAAATTTATATAAAAAGCAAAGGGACACGGGGCACAATGGCTCACACCTGTAATCCCAACATTTTGGGAGGTCGAGGTGGGCAGATCGTGAGGTTAGGAGTTTGAGACCAATCTGGCCAACATGGTGAAACCCTGTCGCTATTAAAAATATAAAAATTAGCTGGGCGTGGTGGCAGGCACCTGTAATCCCAGCTACTCGGGAGGCTGAGGCAGGAGAATCACTAGAACCCAGGAGGCAGAGGTTACAGTGAGCCAAGATTGTGTCATTGCACTCCAGCCTGGGCAACAGAGGTCTGTCTCAACAACATCAACAACAAAGCAAAGGGACTTAGCACAGCTAAAACAATCTTGAAAAAGAACAAAGTTTGAAAACTTACACTTCCCAATTTCAAAATTCATTACAAAACTACCGTAAGGAAGACAAAATGCCTTAAAGCCCCAGACCCAGCCCCGCAGGTGTATGTACAGGGGCCTAGGGGTAGCCCTGGACTGGCGGGCAGTCCCCTAGGACGGTCTCAGAGGGAAGTGGAGGTCTCCCGGCAGTGCGTGGGGCCATGCCTCAGGGCAGTGGCTGTGAGTCTAGTTTTTGCTTTATAAAGTGTACAGAAATGACATTTACATTTCTCTGATGCTCCCTGGAAGCCATATAATTTAGGGGATTTTTAAAATAAAAAGAAAAATGAAACAAAAAATAAAAAAAGATGCCCAACAGCGGTAGTCATTAGAGAAATCCAAATCGAAACCATGATGGGATAATTATCTACAAGGATGGCAAAACTCAGAAAGACAAACAATAACAAGTGTTAGAGAATTTGGACTAATTTAGATGCCATATGTTGCTACTGGGAATGTAAAGTGGTGCAGCTACTTTGGAAACACAGTCTACTTTGGAAACACAGCTACTTTGGAAACAAAGAGTCACCATATGATCCAGCAGTTCCCCTTTAGATATATATGCAATAG